TCACAGTCCCTCAAACTGGAGGGCCGGATTATAATTTGAAAAAACCATGAATGAATTCCTGTGCACACTGCACATATCTTATTTGTAGAACAAATAACACTTAAAAACAATACAATAATTAAAATGAAGAACAATTTTAACAAATATAAACTTATTCGTATTTCAGTGGGAAGAGTGGGCCTGCTTTTGGCTGATGAGATAGGGTTGTTGTTGTTGTTGTTGTGTGTTTTCAAGTCGTTTCAGACTTAGGTTGACCCTGAGCAAGGGCCGGGTAAATGACCTTAGGGCCATATTCGGCCCCTGAGCCTTAGTTTGAGGACCCCTGATCTCTGACTAACATCTATCTTTCCATCCATTCAATACATTCCTCTATTCACCTGTGTCTCTATCTATCTGTCTGTCTGTCTATCATCTATCTATCTTTCCGTCCATTCAATACATTTCTCTATTCACCGATGTCTTTATCGATCTATCTATCTATCTGACTGACTATCTATCTATCTATCCATTAAATACATTTCTTTATTCACCTGTGTCTCTATCTATCTATCTATCTATCATCTATCTATCTATCTATCTATCTATCTATCTATCTATCTATCTATCTATCTACCTGATCTACCTGACTATCATTTATTTCTGTGCATTCAACAATACATTTCTCTATTCACCTGTCTCTATCTACCTGACTATCATCTATCTATCTATCTATCTATCTATCTATCTATCTATCTATCTATCTATCTTTCCTCCATCCATTCAATACATATCTATTCACCTGTGTTTCTATCTATCTATCTATCTATCTATCTATCTATCTATCTATCTATCTATCTTACCTATCATTCCCTTCATTCATCAATACATTCCTTTCTCTCTTTCTTCACCTGTCTTTTTCTATCTATCCATCTCTATCCCCATTCCTCCATTCACCAATATATTTATCCCCATCTCTCAATTCACCTCTATCATCTATCTATCTATCGATTGATCAATCGGTCTGTCTAGCCATCCATACATCAATACATTTCTCTCTGCTTATTTACCTTTCTCTATCTTTCTATCATCTCACAATCCATCCATTCACCAATACATTTCTCTCTTTCTCCATCTCTCTATCTATTCATCTGCGTCTCTTATCGATCCATTTATCTACCAATACATCCATCCATTCACCAATACACTGGCATTAACAGGGGCCGTGCAAGAGCAATTAGAAGGACGGGTGGGTGCTTTGTTTTTGTACTCCTACATATATAATAATGTGCATTGGAGATGGCGTGTCAATAAACACGGGGAGCCCTGTTGTTACTGTGCCCGGGTGGCCTCCGAGGTGCCATCGGCTTGCTTCCTTCCTTCCTTCCTTCCTTCCTTCCGCATGCCCCGGCCCCCCAAATAAATCCCTGGTGACAGATGGTGCCGCTCATCTGTAATTAATTGAACTCTGTGGCCAATCGTCACCTTAATACGCCCCTAATTGGCTTTTCCCTGGGAACCCTGATTGCGGGCCGCTGGCCACGCTTAGCCTCTGTTTTCCACGCACACGAGGAGCAGCCCCGCTTTACGTAACGAGGGAGGGAGCACGCGTGTGTGTGTGTGAGTGTGTACGCCTTCGTTGACGGGAGGAAAACAACCCTCCCCAATGGCCTCTCCCACCACCCTGAGCTTCTAGCTGCATTCACTGTGCCTGGAAATGGAGGGCGCCCCTGTTTCTACGTATGCCTTCTGGAGCGAGAAAAATATAAAGATGGGATTTTATTACCTGTAGAATGAGGCCTGGAGTGCAGTGAAAGCCAAGGTGTGCGAGAGAGCGAGCAGATTCTTTTTCAAAATAGAAATACATTTTAATAGGTGTATTTATGGAAACTTTACAACGTTTATATGTTTTAATTACGCTGCCACCCGTCCCAAGCCACAAGGAGAGGAGGCGGGTAAGAAATAACATTATTATTATTATTATTATTATTATTATTATTATTATTATTCTACAGATATTATTATTAGCCATGAGAAGGCAAGAATTATTATCATTATCATCATTATTATTAACCATGAGGAGAGGCAGGTAAGAATTATTATTATTATTATACACATTATACAGATATTATTATTATCTGTCATAAGGAGAGGTGGGTAAGGATTATTATTATTATTATTATTATTATTATTATTATTATTATTATTATTATTACTATACAGATAGTATTATTATTATTATTAGCCATGAGGAGAGGACGGTAAGAATTATTATTATTGTTGTTATTATTATTATTATTTTACGGACACAAAAACACAGTATGTCACGGCAAATGAGATCTTGCTGCTGGATTTCGTATCACAAAACCACAAGTCGAACCCTTCCCAAGCATCTAGGACTGTGGGATGTATTTCCGAATGATGTGCGCAGATTCAAGTCAGGTGGCCTTTTGCAGTTGACAAATCGTGATTTTGTCAATGTTTATTGTTTCCAAATGTTGGCTGAGGTCTTCTGGCACGGCACCCAGTGTGCCCATCACCACTGGGACCACCTGGACTGGTTGATACCAGAGCCTACATTATTATTATAATAATTATGTATCTCTATCTCTATCTATCTAATTTGGATAGTATTATTATTATTATTGGGACTGAATACTGGTTTATGCCAGAGCCTAAATTGTTATTATTATTATTAATAATAATAATAATAATAATAATAATAATAATAATTGTTATTATTATTTGGATAGTATTATCATTATTATTGGGACTGAGCAAGTATGAGTGGCTTAAAGCTGCTTGAGTGTAAAGATGGGAAGGCCTGGGGGGAAAGAAACTGAAAAATTGGGGGAAATGTTTTTTAAAAATGGGGAAACACGAGGGAAAAAAACCCTGGAAAAAGAGGGGGGGGGGATCCAGAAAAAATACAGCCAAAACACGGGAAAAACATGGACAAGACAGGGGGGAAACATGATAAAATGGGGGGGGGGGGGAAGCCTCAAGTAAAATAAGGGGGGAAAAACTCTGTATAACCGCCCCCCCCCCCGTGGTTTCCCCACGTTGTCCCGTCTTTTCCAGGCCTTTCCACCTGTGCTTGAGTGCCAGTCCTTTGCAAGGACGGGATGCCCAGCGCCTTGGGGAGGAATCTCAGGGCGAGAGCCTTAGGAACCCCCCGATCTCTGCAGGCCTCTTGCCTGGGGGATGCTGCTGGTGTGTGCTTCGGGACATTGCCAAGCCCGGCTCTCTGCGAGGGGGTTCCTGGGGAGGGGGCTGCCTTCTGTATATAAGGCCCAAGGAGGCCTTCCTTCCTTCCTTCCTTCCTTCCCTCCTTTGGGTCAAAGGCCACGGACTTGCTTCCGGCTCTGCCGCCTCTGCCGTTCACACCCGGAGGCAGAGCGCTCGCTCGCAGTGCGCACTGCTGCCCCGCTCCTTTCTCTCTCGTCCCCACCTCAAGAAGGAAGCCATGGGCAGCTTAAGGTCTCATTATGCAAAAGTTTTAACAATCATATGCAAAGTACTTGGCGAAGGAAAGCAGCCCGAGGCACACACGTACGTGTCGGGAAAGCGCTCGGCTTGGGCCGTGTGTCTGCGCAGCATGAATGAAGCCTGGCTCACGGATGGGCGTTCCGGAAGGGCCCGGCGCTCCCCCTGCGCTCGCTCTCGGGGCCGCGCAAAGGGGTCAGAGGATGCGGAGGGCGTGCCCCGCAGGGAGGCCGAAGCGCGCCTTGTGCTCCTCGAAGAGCCCGCGCAGCGCCTCCACGTACAGGGCGTGGAAGCGGTCCACCGTCTCCCGCGGAGGCTGCGCGATCCTGGGCACCGGCAGGGGCTTCCCCACTGGAACGGGAAGGCAGAAAGGCACTCAGAACCCCCCCACGCCACGCCCTGGCCCCTTGGGACCTCCGCACCCACCCAAATGAATCCCCCCCAATACAAAAATGGGGGGCCTCGCAAGACCACAGGGGAACCTGACGGTAAGGAAGTACGGTAATAGCAATGCTGCATTTCTCCCCTTCTGAGACACACCTTTCCCCTTAGACAATCCTCCCTAAAATGGGGGCGGGGGGGGGCATCTTGGGATCGCAGGTGCCTTTTTGTGGGTGGCAGTGTTACTGAAATGAGGGCGTGCCTGTCCATCGAGAGCATCTCACTATTGAAGGAATACAGTAACACTCGTGCTGCATTTCTCCCATTCTAACAGGCACTTCCCCCCATATCAGAGGCTGTTCTCAAGACTGTCGGCCGCAGAGCCCGCTCTCATGCAAAAGGTTTCTTGCAGAGCCCCACGAAAGGCTTATGATATTATACATGCACACACATATATGTATATACACACACACACCCCCCAAGACCAACATAAACAACAGGTTTTCAGTGGAAGGCCCCAGGGGCCATCCAGCCCACTCCCCTTCATTCTGCCATGCAGGAAAAGCACAACCAAAGCACTCCCAACAGATGGCCACCCAGTCTTTGTCATAACGATAACAACATAAATAATAATAGTTGGAGCAACCCAGGGACCACCCAGTCCACTCTCCTTCTGCCATGCAGGAAAAGCACAATCAAGGCACCCACAACAGATGGCCACCCAGCCATGATAACAAGAACAATAATGATAATGATAGCAGAAAGCCCAGGGGCCACCCAGCGCAACCCGCTGCTGCCTTCATGCAGGAGAAGCACAATCACGGGGGGTGGGTGGGGTGGGGGGGGGGGGGGTTGAAAGCAAGCAAAGAGAAGGGGAAAGGCCAAGCAAGGGCTCCGCGGAGCACACTTTGAGAACCGCTGCCCTATGTGATCATATCTAAAAGTGGGGGGCGTACTAGGGTGCACCTTGCCATTGATGGCACCTCAGCATGGAAGAAATGCAGTCATAATACTGATGACCCCGAGGTCCCGGGAGAACTGCCCTCCCCGCGCTCGCTCGTGGCCCTCCCGCCCCCACTTCCTTCCCCTCCCCTCCCCTCCCCTCCCTCCCCCATTTTGGGGAGGGGTCCCTGATGTCAGAGCACGGCCATACTCACCGACGGTGGCGACGGGGGTGGGGAAGGGCAGGGGGAGCAGGCCCCTCCCGTGGAAGAGGCAGGGGGCGAACCCAAGGGCCTTCCGGCAGCGCTCCTGCAGGCCGCGCGCCCAGCCGCCCTCCGCAAAGCAGACCTGCCGGAAGAGCGCCTCCTCCCCAAAGGAGAAGGCCGGCACCAAGTAGGCCCTGCGGGAGACACAAAGGGGGCAAGCTTGTCCATCCTGCTTGGAGGTTCAAAGAGAGGAACTCTGCTTCGGGGGTGTGTTCTGAGCATGGGCTTCTGCGCCCCCCTCCCCGCCCCCAGCCTTGGGCCCCCTTGCACTCCCTCCTTCCTTCCCCCCCTCCCTTCCCTCCCTCCCTCCCTCCCTCCCTCGCTCACTCACTCACCCCGTGTTGGAGGGCCAGGCGGACGAAGCCCTTCCTGCGCCTCAGGACCAGGGTGGTCTCTCCGGGGCGGGAGGCGGAGAGGGACTCGGCCGCGCCGCCCACCACCAGCACCACCGCGTTCCCCGTCCCGCTCCGAGAGAGGAGGTGCTCGATGGCCCCACGCGTCACTGGGAAGAGGCCTTGGTGGAAGGACGAGGAGGAGGAAGAAGAAGAAGAAGCGCACCTGAGAATTGCAGCCGTCTCTCATGCGGGGTGGGGTGGGGTGGGGCAGGGACATAATCGTGGGTAATTGTAGGTTTTTCGGGCTATATGGCCATGTTCGAGTAGCCCAAAAACCTACAACAACCCAGTGATTCTGGCCATGAAAGCCTCCGTCAATACAGGGCCATAATAATCTGGTTCTTAGCATCCAAAAGACCTCATCGTAGACTGCAGAAGGAATCTTTCCAAAATTCGGCCTTTGGCGATCAGTGGGGATTGAGTGGCGTTTGTGGGTGCTTCGTTGTTCAGGAAGAGTTGCGGTTGTGTTGGTGGGGAAGGCCACACAGAGACTGCATTACCGCCTGAGCCAACAATGACCACTCTTGCCCAGAGAATGATGGGTTAGGGTTATCAATGGGCATCGAGTGAAATGGTGGCCAGTGCCAAGTTTGTGGGTGCACCAGGACTGTGGCGCAGCTGGCTGGGAGTCAGCTGCATTAATGATCACTACTGACCCACAGGTCATGAGTTCGAAGCCAGCCTGGGTCGGAGTGAGCTTCCGGCCACTTGTGTAGCTTGTTGTTGACCTTTGCAACCCGAAAGACAGTTGCATCTGTCAAGTAGGAAATTTGGGTACCACCTATGTGTGGGGAGGCTAATTTAACAAAAATTACGAGGCCATAAAAAAATCTCCAGCAAAAGCATGCGGGGAATGCGGTATATACTTCATCAATGTCGCAGATGGACGGAGAAGCGACAGCTCCCCTGGTGGCCAGGAAATTGGAATGTTAAATAGCCTCTGAGTGTCTGTCTCTATCTGTTGTGCGTCTTTGGCATTGAATGTTTGCCATGAATGTGTACATTGTAATCCGCCCTGAGTCCCCTGCGGGGTGCGGAGAAGGGCCGAATAGAAATACTGTCAATAAATAAATAATAAACATGTTTTTCACCAAGACTCGCTCTGGGGTGGCGTTCATGCTGCAGCTGTGCTGGTGGGGAAGGCCCCACAGAGACTGCATTACCACCTGAGACGCTTTAAGGAACCAACAAGTTGCACTGGGGCAGCAGCGTTGGTGAGGAGGGCCCGGCACGGATTGCAGTATCACCTGAGACTTTTAAGGAACCAACAACAGAATGAGAAACGGCTGGTGACTTCCTCCCACTTTTTTTTTTTTTTTGGTCGTGTCAGGAGCGACTTGAGAAACTGCAAGTCGCTTCTGGTGTGAGAGAATTGGCCGTCTGCAAGGACGTTGCCCAGGGGATGCCCGGATGATTTGGTGTTTTTATCATCCTTGTGGGAGGCTTCTCTCATGCCCCCTTTGCATGAGGAGCTGGAGCTGATAGAGGGAGCTCATCCGCCTCTCCCCGGATGTGAACCTGTGACCTGTCGGTCTTCAGTCCTGCCGGCGCAGGGGTTGAACCCACTGCGCCACCGGGGGCTCCCGCTGTGCTCTAGGGAGTGAGTGTCCCAACCTATGGCCTCTCTTGCGCATAGTTAGCGCATTGCAGCGGCGCAGATAGGGAGGTGCTCCAGAGGGTGGCTGGCCACAGCCGGCCAGAGAATGACCGGCTGCCCTTTCCCCTCTTGGAAGACTTCCTGCTGCCTTCAGGAAGCCCAGGATATTCTTAAGGGGATCCCCCTCACCCTGGAGAGGCTCCTTTTGTGGCATTATGACCACCTGGCAGGCAGGATCGGGTGAGCAGAAACAAGGACACAGAGGCGGAGAGAGGGCTCCGATTCTGTGCTGGACTCTGAGGTTGCACACGGCTGTGGCCCCGCAGGGTTGTGCAACACCAGTTGGAATGTGGAAGGATGGATGCTATTGTTTGGCATTTGATTCCATTGCACGATGGCAATAAAGTTATTCTATTCTAGATGAGATAGTTGTTTGTGGTGCTTCTGAAATTAAGATGGCATTACCTTGCAATTGAAGAAAGGCAGTGTTTCCCAGGAGTGGGTTACTTGTGGCAACACCTGGTCTAATGGCCAGGTGAAGCCCAAAAGGGGGGGGGGGTCTGAGTGAGTCTGGGGTTCACACTCACCCTCTCACTCACTCCCGCACTCACTCACCTCCACTCATGAGGTACTCCCGGATGCCCGGGAGGCGGAAGTTCCCCGCCAGGGTGCCGAGGGCGGGCCGGATGCCCGGGAACTTCTTTGCGAAGCCCGTGGCCCCCGTCACGAAGTTGGCGAAGGCGCCCACGCAGACCAGGCCGTGCGGGTGGACGCCCACAATGTAGTTGCGCTCCGGGGACAGAGGGTGGGTCTTCACCAGCTGCAGGAAGCGGGCAAAGAGCAGGGTCACGGGGGTCCCCACAAGGTTGCCCGTCCCCTCGGCCCCCGCCATGTTAGTTACTCTGATTTAAGGGTGATTTGATGGTGCTTTGGCTGCATGAAGGCAGAAGGGTGTGGGACGGTGGGACCCATGCCGTCCCTTGCCACTCTCTCCTTCCGTGCTACCTGGATGGGGAAGTAGTCCCGGAAGTAGCTCCAGACGGGCCAGGAACGGACCCAGGAGGAGCTCCTGCCGCCTGCAGACAAAACAAAAGAAGAAGGGAAGTTGTTATTATTATTATTATTATTATTATTATTATTATTATTGGTCAAGAGGGACCTTCCAGGGGTCGCCTGCTTCGGCCTACCCAACTAGATGCCAATGGCATGCACTGCAAACCATTTTCCTTGACTGACAATGATGTCAGGCCCCCCCCCCCTCAGAATTAAGGGATAAGGACTTATAGTTCTGCAAAGGGCAAGGTCACCAGACTACACAACAAGGGTTAAGTCTTGGCCACATTGCCAAGGCACTGACAACAACAAGGACCCCACGAGGCTTTTTGGGAAATGGCTGGATCTTGGGACTTCTGCCCTTTTGTGAGAGTTGTAGTTCCCCAAGGGCTGAGCGATGGATTCTGTTATTGATCAACTCAGCGCCCATCTGCTGATTCCAGCCTGAATCCATGACTCTCTGCTGAGTGGACTGGACTGTTTGCCACAACCCTGGCCATGAACTTTCTATCAATGCTTGATTTGAACTGCTAGCAACCTCTGCTTCCACACACCCTTCCTAAGAGCATGGGATTTCCAGTTTGGACCTTAATAAAGATCAAATATTGAAATAAACTTTATGGGGTGGGATGGGGGTTCCTCTTCTGCTCTAACTCTGTATCAGTGATGCCTATTGCCTATGATTTTGATATATGTATGTAACCTTATGAATTTCCTCTGTACCTTCGTCCCCTTGACCCTTGCCCCACAAAAACTGCTGTGACCAGGAACTGCCTGAGGGAGGGCAGCCTCTCCCTCAATCACCCTTGATTGCTTCACTTGCATGGACAATGCTGTTGTTTCCCCCCAACCCTGGCCCTCGGAGCAAGACCAGCGAGGGGAGGGGGTCAACAGAAACTCGGAAAGAAAAGACTGATTAAATCACCCAGGTATTGTTGATCCCCCTGAGGTCCGATATCGAAAAAGCCATTCATATCCCCCTCCAAAGCTCATCAAGGACAGGAAAGCTTTTGTTTGCTAGGATCACACCTTGCCGGCCTGAGACAAAGGCTTGCTGGCAACTCCTAATCCCATCATTTCCCCCCTCCTTTGTCCGAGGCCGCACCGCCTCCTCTCTCCTGATTTGTCCATCTTGCGAGGCGAGCGGAGGGCACTCATTGGCCCTCTAGAGGCGAAGAAACGCGCTGATTGGTCCAGAGCAGGGGCAGGCCGCCCAGCCTCCTCCCAGCTGTTCCAGCATCGGCCAATCAGCGTGAAGCCGGCCGGCAAGGGGCGGGCGGAAATTTTGAAAGTTTTCCTTTGTATTTTTACTATAAATATGCCTGTATTCTTTGTACTGGTATGCTTGCGGTGGAATGATCCCTGCAACGCATCTGATCTCAGCTGAATCACAAATAAACCTCGGTTGCTGGAAACTTCTTCCACTTGGATGGGGCATTATTATTTTTAATATTTTTATCACAATTTGGCTTCGCTGGCCTCTCCAAGGTATCCAGGGCCCTTTTGGCGCGGTCCTCGGGTTCTCTTCTCTTGAGGAGACCCTACTAAAAGTAGCTCGATATCAACTGCTTTAAAGAAGGCCTGGGCCAACTCTGGCCCTCCTCCGGGGTGTTTTGGACTTCAACTCCCACAACTCCTAACAGTCTCTCAGTGGAACCTCAAAGCCAAATAGTATTAACAATAATAATAACAATAATTAAAAGCAGCCTTAAACAGCTGCAAGAGTCACAATTATCATCATTATCATCATTATAATATAATTTGGCCTTAGATAGTTGCAATGATCACAACGCAGTGGAATCTGGAGGAACCATGTTATTGTTGTTGCTGCTATTATTATTCCATAATAATATGCGGGCTTAGTTGCAATGACCACAAGGGAGTGCAATCTGACACCATGTTGTTGTTGTTGTTATTCCATAATAATATGCAGGCTTAGTTGCAATGACCGCAAGGCAATGTGGAGGACCAATGTTATTGTTGTTGTTGTTATTATTCCATAATAATATGTGGGCTTAGTTGCAATGACCACAAGGCAGTGGTATTTGGAGAATCCACATTGTCATTATCTTGGGCCGGGTTTTAGCACAGCAGGTTAAACACCAGCTGAGGCAAATCTGGTCAATTCAAAGTTGACAGTTTGAAGCCCGCTAAAAAGTGGGGGAGGCGTCTTAAGGCACCCCTAAAGAAAAAATGCCAGGAAATGCCGGCGATCAACCTAAGAGGAAGTTTACAAACACAAAAGCTCTTTCAGAGGGAGGTGGAGTGGCCGCGCCCCTGTGGCCACCGAGGGGGGGGGGTGATCTACCTGAGCCCCTCCAAGGTCCCTGCTGCCTTTGCCCTCAGAGAGGGGTGGAGCCCCCTTGGCCGGCCCCTTGCCATTCCTCACCTCTCTCGGGGGTCTCCCAGTCGAGGAGGAGCCAGGCCAGGTAGAGGGCGGAGACCGGCCAGAAGGCAGTGAAGGCCAGGTAGACCAGGAGCAGCAGCAGCAGCAGGCCTGCAACAAGAGGGGGGGGGAAGGGAAAACGGGCCGTCAGAGCCGCCACCCTTGACCCCTCGGAGGGGGTCCACTGCCCACCCACCCACCCGCTTCCCTCCCTCCGTCCCTGTCACGGACTCACCCATCAGGAGGAAGCTGAGCATCCACTGGGCGACGGCCAGGAGCTGGACCGCGGCCCGGAGGTCCCCTTGGGAGGGCCAGCGCGGGAGGGACACCAGCGCCAGCAGTGGCCGCAGCGCCTCCCGCAGGAGGGACCGGCTCCCTGCAGGCAGGCAGGCAGGCAGGCAGGCAGGCAGGCAGGCAGGAAGGAAGGAAGGAAGAGGGGTAGAGTGGCCAGAGAGGGAAGACAGCCAGCCAGCCCCAGGTGAGGGCGCTGGTCAGCCTTGACCTCCTGCTTATCTGACCACTGAGGGCTCAGGCGCATGAATCATTAACAGCCCCCCCCCCCCCCCCCCCGGCCTCCAATGCGAGCCCTGTTCCTGGGTCTCTCTGACCGGCCAATTCCCAAAACGGCCCTCTTTCCCCCCTCGCCGGCACTCGTTGGTGACACGCAGGACCTCTCCTGGTTGATCGGGACAGCCCCACCTGAGGCCCCTCCTCCACTGCCCTTATCTCCCAGGATCCGGTCCCAGATTATCTGCGTATCCCAGATTATAATAAGGCAGTGGAGACTCATTATAATCCAGTTCACAGCAGTTAACCTGGGATCAGACCCTGGAATACCAGGACAGTGTAAACGGGGCCCAAGAAACTAGAGTGGGTACAGTTTGTCCAATGCAATCTCCCAAATCAGCACCCCAAAGAACCCCAAGAAAGGAATACAAACCAACAATTCTTTTTTTTTGGGGGGGGTGTTATTTATCATGCTTACGTCCCCTTTGATAGCATGAGGCCTCCTGCTTGGGAAGTGGGTGAGAACACGGTGTTGTTGAAGGCTTTCATGCCCGGAATCACTAGGTTGCTGTGGGTTTTCCCAGGCTGTACAGCCATGTTCCAGTAGCATTCTCTCCTGATGTTTTGCCTGCATCTGTGGCTAATGGCATCTTTATAAGAACGGACGAATAGAGGGTATATATGTCTAGGGTGGGAGAAAAAAAACCTTGTCTGTTGCAACGAGCAAGCTTGAATAGCATTGAATAGCCATGAAGCTGCAAAGTCAATCAGTGAGGGTCCCTGCATAGAGGTGGCCTGGCTGTTGTTGCCTGGAGGCACCCTCCGTTTGGGAGGTGTTGGCTGGCACTTGGTTGTTTGCTGCCTGGAGTTCTCCTATTTCGCAGTGGTGTTCTTTATCCACTGTCACCGTTCGGAAACAGGAAAGCTCCAAAGGATAAGAGATCAAGTGCCAGTGAACTTGCAACAAAGGCCAGGCTCCCTCTATGCAGATACCCTCACTGACTGACTTTGCAAACTTTGTGGCTAATTCAAGCTTTCTAATTGCAACGGACAAGGGCTCTTCCTCCCACTTTGGACATTATCCCACAGGTATGTGTATGTATACTAGCCCTGCCCTGCCATGCGTTGCTGTGGCCCAGTCTGTGTACATGTGTGTATGTTTGTGTATATGTCTATATATGTGTGTGTTTGGTTATATGTGTGGCTTTGTACATGCATTGTAATGTAATTTTTTATATTTTTGCTTTTTAAGTCTCTTCTGCTGTGTTTTTCAATGTTTTTATGAGTGATGGTCACTTGTTGGCCTGATACATGTATTGTGTCCAAATTTGGTGTCAATTTGTCCAGTGGTTTTTGAGTTATGTGAATCCCACAAACAAACATTACATTTTTATTTATATAGATACACACACTCCACTTGCTTAATTGCTAACAGAACCTCTGAAGATGTCATTAGACACAGATGCAGAAGAAATGCCAGGAGAGAATGCTACTGGAACCCACTGGCCACACAGCCTGAAAAGCTCACAGCAACCCAGTGGACTACAAACACAAGAAACACATGAACCTCCAAGATGTCCCCTAATTGCAGTTCGGGGTGGGGGGGCACAACTGAATGACATGGGGGTCTGCACAGACTTGCTGGAGACTTGGCAGTATTTTGGACCTGGCTGTGGCTTGTGAATACTTGGCCCACAGAGCCTCTTAGGGCAGCTCCAGCCACAGGCCCCAAGTAGAGGGGTCCCACTGGGGGGGGGGGGGCTTGCGGGGACGTGGGGTTTGGTGCAAATCCTTCGCAGCAGGTGGGCATCCAATAATACTAATGGAGAGAACCCTCCCACCAACAACAGGTCTTCCTTCCTTCCTTCCTATCCACTCCATTTGGAGCCCCCAGATGTGGCGAAAGCCCACCGAAGCTCTTCTCTTACCGCTCTGGTTCTGGGAATAGGCCGCAATGATGGTCTTCATGGCTGGATCCCTCTCCCCGTCCCCCTCCTCCTCCTCCTGCTGCTGCTGCTTCAGTGGCGGAGGAAGAAGACTTTGCTCTTTTGACCCGGGGGGGGGGGGGGGAGGCCTGCTGACCGGGCAGCCCATGCAATGCATGCGTTCCTGTGTGTTTGTTTATTGGCAAAGGAAGGAAGGAAGGGCGAAGAAGAGAGGCCAAGGGATTCCCAAAGCCCCAGGAAGAGAGAGAGAGAGAGAGGCCAAGCCCATGAACGTGGAGGCATGGGTGGCGGGGGCCCCCTCAAAGCCCTTTCAAGCAAAGGAAGGACAACCACCGGGGGGGGGGGGGGGGGGGGCGGCCCCTTTAAGAGCCACTGGCGTATTTCAGCCATTCAGATCCTCAGGCGCATTGATGGGACAACCAAGTATAGGATAGCTAAATATGCCACGCGGAGAGAAAAAATGGGGCGTAAATAATAATAATCATAATAACAACAAAAACAACTTCTTTGTGGAGATAAAAAGCAGAGTAATAATAATAATAATAATAATAATAATAATAACTTCTTTGTGGGGAGAAAAGGCAGGGCATAAATAAACATAATAATGATAATAATAATAATAAATTCTAATACTAATAATAGTTACATAGGAATTTTGAATCTCCCTTGTGGAGAGAAAAAGCAGGGTATAAACAAACCCAATACTAATACTAATAATAGATACATAGCTTGAGCTGTCGAAGGCTTTCACTCGGTTGCTGTGAGTTTTCTGGCCATGTCCCAGCAGCATTCTCTCCTGACATTTCACCCACTTCTATAGCAAACATCTTCAGAGGTTGTGGTCTGTTGGAAACTAGGCAAGTGGAGTGTATATGTACCTGTGGAATGATGTCCAGGTTGGGAGAAAGAACTCTTGTTGGTGTGAATGTTGCCATTAGCCACCTTGATTAGCATTCAATGCTAATCTGAAACTGAAAGGCTATTCAATGCTAATCAAGGTGGCCAATTGCAACATTCACACCTGCCTCAATCAGACAAGAGTTCTTTCTCCCACTCTGGACATTCCACAGAGATATATAAAACCCACTTGCCTAGTTTCCAACAGACCTCACAACCTCTGAGGATGCCTGCCATAGATGTGGGCAATACGTCAGGAGAGAATGCTTCTGGAACATGGCCAGACAGCCCAGAAAACTGACAACAACCCAGATACATAGCTGCTTTGCATCTCCTCGTGGAGAGGAAAGTAGGGAAATAATAATAATAATAATCACAATAATAATAATAATCAAAATAATAATAATATCGATCTATTTATCTATATTTGAGTCTATCGTTAAGCTGCTTTGAGACTCCTTGTGGAGAGAAACATCCTAACAACAACAACCCCCAACCACAGGATAACCAACGATAGGAGCTGTGGTCTCCCCCCACTGCTGCTGCCGCCGCCGCCGCCATTGGCTTTTCTGGCTGAAAGAGACGTGAGAGGAAGAGTCGGCAGCCGGCCCTACAAACAGAGCAAGGCATTTTATTGGGCTCCTTAAATAACAAAACGGCAAGCGCCCAGGGCTCCCCAAGGAGAGGGTAAGGGGGAAAGAGGGGCCCCCCATGCGCCTCCCCCTCCCGAGTCCCCTTCCAGGGCTCATCAGCCCATGTTCTTCCGGTTGCCGTAGCCCCGCGGGTGCGAGTCCTTCCAGTCGTCCCACTGCCGGGCTTTCCGCAGGGCCTCTTCCTCCTCCTCCTCCTCCTCCTCTCCTTCCTCCTCTTTCTTCTCCTCTTCCTGCTGCTGCGAATCTTCTTCTGAAACGACTGCAAGCGGAAAGCAAGAGCGGGACTCAGGCAGCGTGTGGGGCACACGCCCTCTGTCCCCATTCGAAGAGGAGGAGGAGGAGGAGGAGGCTGCCCTGGGCAACCTGCACAACGGAGGCTTTGCACCCCTCCTTCCCTCCCTCCCTCCCCTGGTTACCTGAGGGCCGCTGCTTGTGGCCCTGATCTGGCAAGAGCCCGTGCCGCCGGTGCTGTTCGTACCAGTCGTCCACCGTCATGGTGGCCAGGCTTGGGTAGCCGGCCCCAAAAACCCTGCGAGAGGAGGAGGAGGAGTAGAAAGAGGAGGAGGAGGAGGAGAAGAGCAACTTTATTTTTCTACCCCGCCTCCATCTCCCTGAAGGGACTCGGGGTAGCTTACATGGGGCCAAGCCCAGGCAACATACAATTAAAAGCAAAGCAATAACAAAATACAATTTAAAAAGCATAAAACAACATAACAATAATAGGCAAGCATCAAGCAACAAAAAACTAATTTGAAAAAAAAAGGGGGGGGGGGAGAGGCCAATATACTGAATAAAGAGGAAGAAGGAAGAGAAGGAGGAGAAGAATAAGGAGGAGAAGGAAGAGGAGGACAAAGGGGAAGGAGAAGGGGAAGAAGGAGGAGGAGGAGGAAAAAGAAAAGAGGGAGAAGCAGGAGGAGGAAGGAAAGAATGAGAAAAAGGAAGAGGAGGAGAAGAGGAAGAAGGGCAAGGAAGAGAAGAGGAGGTAATGGAAGAAGGAAGAGACTAACTTGGCACCCAATCCAGGCTCTCTTCCCACTCTATTAATATTTCATTTATTTCCTTACTATATTTCTATACCACTCTTCTCAGCCCTCGGGCAACTCACAGCGGTTAACAACAGCAAAATTCAATAATCAAAAACATCATAAAACAGTTAACAACAATTAAAACAGTAGCATGATAAACTGTCGCTATAAATCAATAAATATTTTATGACAACCAAGCAGTAAAATATGCCACGGGCCTTTGAGGGTTGCAGGTGGGATTGTGGGAAGAGGGTTCACTCCATTATTATCGTTCTTGTTACATCCATGCACACATATTTAGTTGGGTGTGGCTTTATCCTCCCCCCCCCCCCCCCCCGGCTGCCGTGGGACCTACTTTGCCTGGGCCGCGTCCCGGGTGAGGATGAAGGGCTTCATCACGGGGGGCCTCTGGCGGTGGCTGGGGGGCTCCGGGGACGGACCCTGCAGGGAAAATAAATACGGGGAGGGCAGCGCATAAGCAAACAAACCAACCAATAAGGGGAGGGGTCTTCTTTCCCCTCAGTAGCCCCCCCCCCGCCCTCTTTCTACCTGCGTCATGGCCCCCCTCCTCTCCAGGAGGGCCCTCTCCCGGTCGATGCCCTCCACTTCCTCCAGGGCCACGGCCACCCACTTCTGGATCTGGAGCAGGTAGAAGTGCCGCAGCGCCTCCTCCTCGGCACGGCCCTCCTCCACCGCCGGCCGCAGCGCCTCCAGCTGCGCCTCCAGGTCCTTCTTGGCCTTGTACCTGAGGCACAGGGAGGGGGGCACAGGGAGACCTTTGGCCTGAGGGGTGGCTACTTTTGTGCCTGGCTCTCCCTCTTTCTTCCCAACACGGGGCCCCCGTTTGCCTAGTTCCCAACAGACCTCACCGCCTCTGAGGACGCCTGCCATAGATGTGGGCGAGACCTCAGGAGAGAATGCTGCTGCAACATGGCCAGACAGCCTGGGAACCCCCCCCCCCCCAACCTTCTTGCTTTGCCTTTCCGGACCCCAAGAGCCCTTTAGCCCTGCTGAGTTTTGGGATTTGTTTTGGGGTTGTTCTCCCTCGACTCACCTGTCGATCTTCTCCCTCCGGTGGGCGGCCATGTCCAAGAGGGCGGCCTGGTCTGAGGAGGAGGAGGAGGAAGGGGGCCTGCGTTGTTCCTCCCCTTGCCCTTCCCGCTCTGCTTCCTCTTCTCCTTCCCCTTCTTCCTCGTGGAGGGGGAGGCGCTGCCGGGGCCCCAGGAGCCCGTAGGCCTTGCACTGGCGCAGGAAGCGGAGGAAGAGGGCCCGGGCGTGCCCCAGCTGCTCCAGGCGGGCCTTCGAGGGGCTCTGCTTCAGCACCAGCGAGCCCAGCAGCGCCGGGACCAGCAGGAAGCGCAGGTCCAGGGAGGCCACCTCCTCCAGCTCCTCGTTCCCGCTGCAGAGGCGTCGCCATCACCCCGGAGGAAAGAGGGGGGGGAGAAGGGAATAGCCTTATCGCCATTGTCCGTCATGCAGCCGAATGAAACGCCACCCCCGGCACGCCCATCCTTTCACATTCTAATCACTATTGCACAGACCCAATTAATGCCAGTGTATTCGTGAATGGATGAACTAAATGAACAGATAGATGGGTTGATGGATAAATAGGCAGGTGATAGAGAAAAACCTTGAAGGAGCTGGGGGTGGTGACGGCCGACAGGGAGCTCTGGCATGGGCTGGTCCATGAGGTCACGAAGAGTCTGAGACGACTGAACGAATGAACAACAACAAGAGAAATACACAAGTGAAGAGAGAGAGGGGGAACTGTATTGGTGAATGGATGGAAGAATAGACAGAGAGAGAGAGAGAAAGATACATGTATTGGTGAATAGATGGATTGGTGGGTACACAGGTACATTGATAGACAGATAGACACACATGAAGAGAAAGAGAGAAATGTATTGGTGAGTGGATGGACATGTCAATGGATGGATGGATGGGTGGATAGAGGAAGACAAGACATAATATGATAATGCGATACAATATACTACTAACAATAATAATATATTATAATTATACATTTTCTATTAAATGTAATATTACTAATAATATTGCAGTACAATGTAATAGATAATATTAATATTGTGCGATGGTAATAATATAATAAGTTGTATTTATTTACTTTTTACTTGTCAGCCGCTCTGAGTCCCCTTCGGGGTGAGAAGGGCAGCATAGAAATGTCGTAAGTAAATGATAAATAAGGGAAAAATAGATTGAGAAGTATATTGGTGAATGGATGGAGGGATGGATTGGTCTTCCGGGGGGGGGGGGGGGGGGTCCCTTCCAAACCTAGGAGACTATTTATTTTATTTATTTATTAACTTTATTTGTACGCCGCTAACATCTCCCGAAGGACTCGATGCGGCTAACAAAGGCCAAGGCCTCAAAAAACATAGCATAACAAATACACAACTTAAAGTAAATCAAAAACAATTAGAGCAATATCAAAACAACAAAACAATTAAAAAATACACCAAAACACAATAAAACTGGGGCCGGGCCAAATGTAACGGGTACAGATTAAAAGTGCTGATGTGACAGGTGGTATGTTGGATTTTAGGGTAAGTGCCGTGTGCAGACAATCTTACAGTCTAATAAAGTGCTTCTGGGACAGGTTGTTGGAGGTTTCCTGTTCTGGGAAGGCACATCAGAACAGCCAGGCCTTCAAGTAGGGGCCTGTCTATCATATCTATCTATCTATCTCAGTGGTTCTCAACCTGGGGTCCCCAGATGTTTTTGGCCTACAACTCCCAGAAATCCCAGTCGGTTTACCAGCTGTTAGGACCACTGAGATGGACATCTGTTGGGAGGGGTCTGATTGTGCCTTTCTTTATGGCAGGAAGGGGTTGGGATGGATTTATTTATTTATTTATTTGGGGTTCTTTTACCCCGCCCTTCTCACCCCGAAGGGGACCCAGGGCGGCTTACACAGTAAAGGCACGATTAGATGCCTGCATCACAAACAATCATCACAAATTACAATAAATTCACAATTACCAACAGTTCATGCATTATTCCAATAAAATCAATAAAATCTATAAAATCAATACAAACCCAATTCCTCCCTTACATTGTCAGTGTTTGCTGTCTCATAGATCTGCTTTTGATACCATTTGGTCAATCCTGCTGGTCTTACTCGTCAGACTGTCTTATTTAATTGCCTGGTTGCCCAAAGGCCTGGTCCCATAACCACGTCTTCACCCTCCTCCTGAAGGAGAGGAGGGATGGTGATGCTCTGATTTCCCCGGGGAGTGAGTTCCACAGGTGAGGGGCCACCACTGAGAAGGCCCTGCTTCTCGTCCTCGCCAGCCTCACTCGTGACAGTGGCGGGGTCGAGAGCAGGGCCTCCCCAGATGATCTCAAACTCCGAGGTGGGACGTAGAGGGAGATACGTTCGGACAGGTACGCTGGACCGGAACCGTAAAGGGTTTTATAGGTCAAGACCAGCACCTTGAATTGTGCTCGGAACTGAACCTGCCTTTGAGGGCTCCTCCCAACTCTAGGATTCTATTATCCATTACCATTCTCAAGAGGTTTTTCAGCACAAGCTGGCCATCTGTCAGGAGGGTTTTGATTGTGCCCCCAGATCTAGGGCACCATACCTATCATATGTATGCATATGCATGTGTGTGTGTGTGTGCATATGTCTTCTATCTATCTAGGTATCATAGCTATAGCTGGGTGGCCATCTGTGGGGAGGGGTCTGGTGGTGCCCTCTGGGGGGGTCTTCCCCCTCCCCCCTTCTGCGCATGCGCGGCTGACCTGAAGAGCTGGAGCGCCTCGACGCCGCGCTGGGCCTGCTCGAGGAGGGCGAGCGCGGCCTGGACCTTCCGCTGGAGCTCCGCGGGGCCTTCCGCCCCGGCCTCCGCCTCCTCCGCCAGCCGCCAGCCGCGCTCCAGCAGCTCCGAGAGGCGTGGCGGGCCCGGGTCTTCCTCCGGCGCCGCCATCTTGGAAGCCGGCCCCAGGCAGGGCGGAAGCCGGAAGCGCCGCCGCCGCCATCTTGGGAGAGGGCAAGGGGGCGGGCCAATGGGAGGCGAGGAGGGGCGGAAGGGGCGGGGCGAGACCTCCCTCCCTCCCTCGCTTCTCTCAGTGAGACAAGCCTAAGATCCTAGACGGGACCGGAAGGGACCCCCAAAGGCCATCTAGACCGACCCGCTTCTGCCCTAAGGGAAGGCACCACTAAACCCCTCCCGGAAGACGGCCATCCAGCCACAGATAGGACTGAGGGAGGAGAGGTCTAGGACAGATATCCCCTGGAAGGCCACCCAGCCCAACCTCCTCCTGCCAGGAAGGACACCGCCCGATCCCTCCCGACAGATGGCCATCCAGCCTCTGCTTTAAAACCTCCAGGAATCAAGACAGACTATATAGACTTGGAAGGGATCCCAGAGACCATCTAAACCGACCCACTTCTGACCTAAGGGAAGACACCATTAAAACCCTCCTGGCAGAGGGCCATCCAGCCATAGAGATCTATGACAGGTATAAATAGGCATGAGAGAGAGAGAGAGATCTATGACCGTTCCTAGTTGATGGAAATGGAAGATGGAAACGGTTTGTTATACTGCTTTTAAAAATCTTAATTTTTCACTATGAATAGTTTTAATTATTGAGTCTTGCTTGAACTGCGCACCGTCCAATGGTGGATGTTAGTTACGTTTGTTTATTGCCCTGCTTTATTGTTATTGTTGTTATTATTATTTGATATTTGATGTTTTAAGATGTCGGCACCTGTTTGCAATTATTTATCGCTTTCCTGCGCTTTACGCCATTGAATGTTTGCCGACAGAGGTTGCAAAGGTATAGGAAAGATGACCAGGCTCATTAGATTTGACGCGAGTGACTAGGACGGTTCTAAATGGTGTATTTTAATATTGTGATAAATGCTTTTAATGTTTATGTATGTCTATAAGAATTGGTGTCCCGGCATTCAGTTTTTGCCATATATATGCTGTGCTGGTACGTCTGTACCAGGAGCTCCAACTTTATTTTCTTTCCATTATCTGTTTGCAGTCATAGGGCAGGCCTCCTGTCCATCATGATTAAGCTTTGGTTCCGCCCCTTGTTCAGGGCTCTGGGAGGGAAAGGAGCCATTTTTTGGGCAGTCTCACATAAGGAAGCTAAACTATAGGACGTAGACCAGCTCATCCCGTAGAAAAGCTTCTTTTCTCAAGAACATCCGGGGAAACAGAAACAGAAATTCCAGGGAAAAGGTCCAAGGCTCTGGCTGAGAGCTCACAGCCTCTCAGCCTCACAGCAATCAGAGGGAAAACAGCCATGAAGTTCTCAAAGAATTCTCGGAGGGAGGACAGCACTACAGATCCACGGAACTCCAGCTGAAATATCTACAAGCCTCGGCTGGTAGGTCTACTCAATACCCAGACGCATTTGGAATCGGTAGTAGGACCCACGCTGATGAGGCATAGATAGTAAACAGCCTGGGAGAGGTAAAATAGGGTTTTTTCCTACAGAGAAAGTACAGTTAGTCAAAGTCAGGTACAAGTCCATTGAGGACTAGACTAAGAATGCCTTGAAGTGTTGTTTGAACCATTGAAGATTTGTTGTTTGCTCCATAATAAAGACTTTGTTGTATCCTTAAAGACTCTAAAGACCATCACTTCAGGAAAATCCCTGAGAACCTCTCTTTGAGGCTTCCCGCTGGGCTTAACGTATACGTCCTATTGAAAAGACAGCTGTTACAGGCCCAGGGCGTGACAGAACATATGCTGTGCTCCGCCTTGAGTCCCCTTTGGGGTGAGAAGGGTGGAATAGAAAGGTTGTAAACAAACAAACAAATAAAGCACCCTGAGTACCCCCCCCCCCAGGGAGGGCAGGGTGGAAATAAAGGATTTATTTATTTATTATTGGGACTCCCCCTTAAAGGCCATTCAGTCTAACAACCTCCTTCAGCCAGGAAGGACACCATCCGATCCTTCCCGACAGAAGGCCACCCAGCCTCACAGGCACCAGAAGGTTCATGGGTGGAGAGAAGAGGCCAAGGAGGAAGGCAAGGGCCTGGCTGCAAGGCGGCGCTCGGCCACCAGGGGGCAGCCGCGTATCTCTTCTTCACCCAAAGGCAGAAGAAGGAGGAGAAGAAGAAGGCAGGACAGAATGATGATGGTGATGATGATGATGGCTTAAAACACTGTTTCTCAACCTTCCTAATGCTGTGACCCCTTAATACAGTTCCTCATGTTGTGGTGACCCCCAACCATAACATTCTTTTGCTACTTCATAACTGTAATTTTGCTCCTGTTATGAAACATAATTTGGGAGTTGTAGTTGCTGGGATTTATTGTTCATCTACAATCAAAGAGCATTCTGAACTCCACCAACGATGGAATTGAACCAAACTTGGCACACAGAACTCCCATGACCAACAGAAAATACTGGAAGGGTTTGGTGGGCATTGACCTTGAGTTTTGGAGTTGTAGTTCACCTACATCCAGAGAGCACTGTGGACTCAAACAATGATGGATCTGGACCAAACTTAGCACGAATACTCAGTATGCTAAATGTGAACACTGGTGGAGTGTAGGCCTTGACATTTGGGAGTTGTAGTTGCTGGGATTTATAGTTCACCTACAATCAAAAAGCATTCTGAACCCCACCAATGATAGAATTGGGCCAGACCTCCCACACAGAACCCCCATGAACAACAGAAAATGCTGTGTTTTCTGATGGTCTTTGGTGACCCCTCTGGCACCTCCTGGCGACCCCTCCAGGGGTCACGACCCCCAGGTTGAGAAACACTGGCTTAATATTGGGAGCCGCTTTAGAGTCTTTTTAGAGGGATAAGGCATCATCATCATCATCATCATCATAATACTTGTTGGCTGCAAATGAGACGGCCTTGGTTTGTCCTGGGGCCGCTTGGAGCCACTTTCTTGAGCGGAAGGAAGACCACCGGTCAGAAAAAACCCAGCTTTTATTTGCAAAACGTCAAAACACTGGTGGAAGACGATGTAAACTTACACCCCAAGTTTATATACACTATATATAACATATATAAAAATAGTCTATACACGGATGGAGCGGCCCCCGGCCCAATGCAGTTCCGCCCGTTCGTCCATTGAGAGCAGTGAGTGCGGGTGGGAGAGAGCGCGGCCGCCCGGCAGAAGTGTCTCCGGCCGGGGGGGCCCCAAAGGCAGGGCAAGGGCATCGGGCGCCCGGTCTCGCAGAAGCAGCGGGCGGGGCCGCCTCAGGCCGCCTGGCCAATAAATACCACCCGGGGGGGGGGTGCGCACTCTCTCTCGCTCCCCCTTTCTGTGTCTCTGGGGCTCCGGGTCTCCTCCCCTCCCTTAGGAGGACCCCGGGGCGTCCCCCAGGCGGACGGCCCCGAAGAAGGTGGTGTGCTTGCTCATGTTGACGGAGATGTCGGCGTGCACCATCTTGACGGCGATCTTCTGCCGGGCGCGGAGGAGGCAGACGCCGGCCGTGTAGCAGGTGTTGAAGCTGGTCTTGCCCGTCTCCAGGCTGCGCGTGCACTGCAGGAAGGGCTGCTCGTCCACCACCACCTCGTAGCTGGCAAAGTCCGTGAAGTTGATGTAGTAGACCTGGCAGGAGGAAGCGGGGAAGGAAGGAAGGAAGGAAGGAAGGAAGGAAGGAAGGGGGAAAGGAGAGAAGAAGAGAAAGAAAGGAGGGAAGGGGAGGAAGGAAAGGGAAGGAGGAGAGGAGGGAAGGGGAGAAGGAAAGAAAGAAGGAAGCAGGGAAGGAAGAAGCAGCGAAAAGAGGGGGGAAGGAAGGAAATGGAAGGAGGGAGGGAGAGAAGGAGAGGAAGAAGAGAAGGAGGGAAGGAATGTGGAAGGAGAGAAGAAAAGAAAGAAGGAAGAAAACAGGGAAGGAGAGAGGGAGAGAAGGAAGGAAGTAAAACAGGGAAGGAAGGAGAGAAGAAGCGAAAAGAGGGAGGAAGAGAAGGAAGGAAACGGAAGGAGGGAGGGAGAGAAGGAAGGAAAGGAAAGGAAGAGCGAAGGAGGGAGGGAAGGAATAGGGAAGGATAGGCAGAGGGAGGGAAGAAGAGAAGGAAAGAAAGAATAAAACAGGAAAGGAGGGAGAGAAGGAAGGAAGGAAGGGAGGAAGGGAAGGGAAGGAAGAGCGAAGAAGGGAGGGAAGGAAGGAAAGAAGGAAGGTCAGTCACTTCAAGGAGAGGCCATTATCAGGGCCTGGAGTGGGACCCCCCACCACCCATCCAGCCAGCCTTGGGCCCTCCCTTTCCCCTCTTGTCCTCCGCCCCCCCCCCCCCCCCCCCCGGTGTTCTCAGTTTTCTCAAGTGGGGCATTTTTGGCCTTCCTTGTTGGGCCCTCCCCTCCAACTTCCTTAGAACTGAAGCAAGACAGTACTTTGCAGGGAAGAGAAATACCTTGGAAGTTTTGAGGGTGACTCTTTATCATTAGGCAGAGGGAAAGGTGGCCCCGGGCCCCTCAGGACTGCCCTCTGATCCCTTCGAGTGGACATTTGGGCCCGCTGCAGCCCCCACCCCTTTGCAGACCCTCTTTCCCCACAATGCAATTCAATGCAACCCAACCCACCTACCCATTTCTCCGCAATGCAATGCAATGCAACCCAACCCACCTACCCATTTCTCTGCAATGCAATGCAATGCAACCCAACCCACCTACCCATTTCTCTGCAATGCAATGCAATGCAACCCAACCCACCTACCCATTTCTCCGCAATGCAATGCAATGCAACCCAACCCACCTACCCATTTCTCTGCAATGCAATTCAATGCAACCCAACCCACCTACCCATTTCTCCGCAATGCAATGCAATGCAATGCAACCCATCCCCCCTTTCCCCACAATGCAATGCAATGCAATGCAACCCACCTACCCATTTCTCTGCAATGAACCCATTCACCCCTCTTTCCCCACAATGCAACTCAACCCACCTACGCCTTTCTCCACAATGCAATGCAATGCAACCCCCCCCCCCCCCGCTTTCCCCACAATGCAGTGCAGTGCCGTGCAACCCGTAAGGAAGGAGCGCCAGCCGGAGACCGTACTCACTTCTACCTGACTATAGACGAAGTAGGTGCCGTCCACCAGCACCTCCAGCTCCCCGCTGCGGGCGTGCAGCTTGAAGACCCGGGGGTTCATGGCCACGCGGGACCAGTCGTTGAGGACCCCACCTGAAAGATCTCAGTATGAGAAAACGGCAGTCACTCAGTGATCAGCAGCGAGGGGGTCAAGGGGGTCAGGGGGGTCGTTCGGGGAGGGAGGGAGGGAGGGGGGGGATTCTTCTTACCATTCTTGACTTGGATGGCGGAGCCTTGTCCCTGCAGGTGGACCACGGCCGGCTGCAAAGGAAGGAGAAGGAAGGGGCAGCGGGTGAGGCTCATGTGCGTTGCTGAGGAGCGGGGCTGAAGGGTGGGTTCTGCTTAAAGGTGGGCCCCACTTTGCCCCCCAAGTGTCTGTTCAGAAGCTGGCCGTTTGCACAAAGACACCTGGTATCACACAATCGCGACAACCCTGCCAGGTGGCACGCCCTTTATCATAACTCCGTAACGCTGCACTCGGACAGAATGTTCCAAGGCAAGCAGTGCCAGCTACAAGAAAGCGGAAATAGAGAGGGAGGCGTTGCATGTGCCTCCAGTTGGAAAAATACAGTTCTGATGGACATGTGTTCACAGCACAGTGCTCTCAAGGGTGAAGAAAATACAAGCGTGGACCTAGGGCTAAGTGAATCATTTCCCCTCCTGAGAGAAGCATGGGAGTGAGTGGCTTGTCTGTGCACTCCCTCTTTGCCGTGGGCTTGCTCTCTGCCATTTTTGATAGCCTGCCATGATGATCTCTTTGCATCTGTAATCCATCACCATACTCACTGTGTGAGTACCTTGCTGTGTTTGGAGTATCTCTGTATACTGATGGCAGACCTGTAAATAGTGATAGGTACCAACGCCGGAAGACTCAACCTCCAAAGGAGTTTGGAAGAAAGCCTGAGCTCAAGCTGGTGAGCTACTACTATATAAGGTCAGAGGCTGTGGTACAAAATCCCTGTTAACTGTGACCAAGACTCTGCAGTGTTTTGGGGATTGGATTCCTTGTGCGTGTTTTTACTCTTCTCCTCTATTCCACCCCGGCTGACAAGCAGCTCATCTGGCCCAATATCAGCTCAGCCCTTCCTTATCAGCCGCTTCCTAATGAGCAGAATGAAAAATCCTGCGCAGCTCTTCAACCTTATCTCTTTAACGAGACACCAGGACTTTTGAAGGTTTTATTTGCGTCTCGTTGCATCTGAGCAGTCTGTTTACACAGTCACCGGGATACTCACAATCCCACCCTCCTTCATGGAGGCATCATGGCAACAGAGCAGAGATCAAGGTGGAAGCGAGTGAGCGGGCGCATGGCTCTCCGCTCTTTATGTGCCCCACTTGGTGGCCCCTCATGCCCGGGACAAAGGACTTGTCGTTCCTGTCACGTGGGTCAGCCCCACTTCCTTTAACCTTTCAGTGGCTCTGAGTGACCACATGTTCAGAAAGAGTGTTTTTCGCACAGCGTAAAGACATGGAACTGCATGGCTAACCATCCCACCCAACCCGGCTGCCTCACCTGGGCATCTCTGGGTCCCACTTTGTCTGTGGCACCTGAAAAAAAGGACATCGTCATTGTCATTGTCATCTGTCACTCAAAGGCCGTGTCCCTCCTCCCCCCCCTCCACTGACCCCCTCATGGCTTGAGGCAGCTGGTCATTTGGAAGAGGCCACAAAGAGTGGGGCAATCTCTCACCCCATGGATGCAGGCAAGAGGGAAATAAACTGTCAGTTGGAACTTTGTTGCATTCCCTAATTTATGCTTTTGAATTAAAGCCTTCCAATTTTCTTTGTGATATAATTTTTTTGTGAGAAGGGTACAGATCTTCACCCCCCCCCCCAAGAATGTGCCCCCTCCTCTTCCTCCTCCTCCTCCTCACCTGTGGGGCCCTGCACGCCAGGGGGCCCCTGGAGGCCAGGTGGGCCGGGAGGGCCAGGGGGGCCCATGACAGTGGTGCCAGGGATGCCGGGGATGCCGGGGATGCCTGGAGGCCCTTGTGGGCCGGGGGGGCCAGGCGGCCCTTGTGGCCCTGGGGGGCCAGGGGGTCCCGCTCGTTTGCCTGCAGAAAGAAAGAAAGAAGGAGCGGGCGTTAGTGTCCCATGATCTTCTGTCCAAGGCTTCCATGGCCAGAATCACTAGGCTGTTGTAGTGTGCTTTCTAGGCTGTATGGCCAACTGTCATGAACACTCGTATTCGGAACAATAAAGATGCCTATTATCTTCACCCCTGTGCGCCTTGGCGTGTTCTTTCAAGCAACGTGTTTTCCAGGCTGTGTGGATCTGATGGGAATCAAGCAAGTGGAGTGCACAACATCCCTGAGGAATGGTGTCCAGGGTGGAAGAAAGAACCAATATCTATTCACCAAGTGGGAAGGAAGGGTGTGATTAGCAAGCTCCTGTTGAGTGTGCTGAGTGGGGTCTATCCACGAGCATTTAAGTAGGGCATCTGAATGGAAGGAGCCTGGCCTTTGTCCCCTTTGCATGGCTTGCTGCCTTGGAGACATCCTTAGCCTGGGTGGTGCTCACTGGCCCTTGATGGCTTTCTGCTTTCTGTATTGTCGAAGGCTTTCATGGCCGGAATCACTGGGTTGTTGTAGGTTTTTTCGGGCTATATGGCCATGTTCTAGATGCAGACGTTTCGCCTGCATCTATGGCAGGCATCCTCAGAGGTAGTGAGGTCTGTTGGAAACTAGGAAAGTGGGGTTTATATATGTGGGACAAAGGACTCCTGTCTGTTGGAGCTAGGTGTGAATGTTTCAACTGCCACCTTGATTAGCATTTGATGGCCCAGCAGTTTTTTGGTGTGGCTTCTTAGTGCCTGGGGCAATCTTTTGTTGAGAGGTGATTAGCTGTCCTTGATTCTTTCCTCTCTGTTGTTTTGCTGTTGTAATTTTTGGGTTTTTTAATACTGGTAGCCAGACTTTGTTCATATTCCTCCTTTCTGTTGAAATTGTCCACATGCTTCTTGTGGATTTCAATGGCTTCTCTGTGTAGCCTGACATGGTGGTTGTGAGAGTGGTCCAGCATTTCTGTGTTCTCAAATAATAATCTGCTGTGTCCAGGCTGGTTCCTCAGGTGCTCCAGCATTTCTGTGTTCTCAAATAATAAGATGCTGTGTCCAGGCTGGTTCCTCAGGTGCTCTGCTATGGCTGACTTCTCCGGTTGAAGGAGTCTGCAGTGCCTTCCATGTTCCTTGATTTGTGTTTCTTGATGATGATGATTATTATTATAGAAGTAGCCTGTCCTTTGTTCCCTTTGAATTGTTTTCTGCCTGAAGACATCATCATCATCATCATCATCATCATCATCACCACCACCACCACAAAAGTAGCCAGGCCTTTGCTTCCTTTGAATTGCTTGCTGCCTTGGAGACATCCTTAGCCTGGGTGGTGCTCCCTGGCCCTTCATCGCTTCTAGCCTTGGAGACATTATTATTGGTAGTAGCATTATGATGATGACTACTATTATAATTATAGAAGTAGCCTGTCCTTTGTTTCCTTTCAATTGTTTGCTGCCTTGGAGACATCCTTAGCCTGGGTGGCGTTCATTGGTCACTGTCTCAATTTTACAGTGTTTTTCAATACTGGCAGCCATGTTTTGTTCAGTTTAATAGACACTGGTTCTTCCTCCCACCCTGGACATGATTCCACAGGTGTGTATGTATGTATATGTCTCTGTGTGTATCCTCTGACACCCATCAGATCCCCTAGAGATGCGAATAGCCATGAAGTGAATGCAGAAGCATACGCTGCTAGGATCTGTTGGCCACGCAGCCCGGCATCAAACCACAGCATGATACCCCACTGGTGTTTGCCCAAGAGCAGCAGGGACATCTGTGCTGCAGGGTTCGCCCTCTTGCACCCACTGCATTGCTTCCATAGACACCACTGTGCCACTCCGCCCTCCAAAATTGCACCCGCTAATTGAATCCTCTTTATCCAAAACTGGATCTGAGAAAAACTACCTCTAGACCGACCTGGACGGAAACCTGTAGAAAACCAGCGATGAAGCATCAACTCACCTTTTTTCTTCTTAGCTGAGGTTGTGCCTGGAAAAGAAGAGAGAAAGAACAAGGGAGTTCAGCTCCTCTGCCAGGAATTGTGGGAGTCGAAGTCCAAAACACTGGGGGGGGGGGAGGGGGGGAGGGAGGGAGGGCCAAACCATTCACGGGATGATACTTTCGTCCCAAGAAGCCAATGGCAGAAGCGGGAATGGCTGAGAAGAAGGAACCCGGAGGAGCAGAAGCCGCGCGGGAAGAGGCTTCCCATCTGGATGCGCTCCTGCGCGCAACATCTGGGCCCCGGCTGTCGCTCCGTGTCGCTTAAGCAAACCGCTGACGTTTCCCCCCTTGAGACATATTGACGGGATGGATTTCTTGCAAGCCCTTTCGGAAGAGACTCGGTCAAGAGAAAGAGGGGGGGATGGCACCTGGGACGACCCTCTGCAGCAGCAGCAGCAACAACAACAACAACAACGCCACCCCGCCTCCCCGTTTTCCTGCCATTGGGCCCTTTGTTCCCCGAGTCCATCTCTTCAGCAAACGCCCCGCTAAAAGCTTCCCTTGGCTATTTTTTTGCCAAAGGGAACGAGAAGCTTTCCACGCACGAGAATCACCCTTTCCCAATTTGGGCACAATTGGAATTGGCGCAGGCCTTGAAAAGGGGAGGCGGGCAATCCATAACATTGTTATTATTACTGCTATTATTATTTTGAGATGAAGTTGTGCCGTTACGAAATTTGTGGTGAAATTCCAGGACAGTTGTCACAACGAGTCCCTTGGAGAGAAAGGATCTCTCACGGGGCTGGACTTTGTTGTTGTTGTTTGCATCCCACTTTATCTCCCTAAAAATGAGATTCACAATAAAACCAATGCAACTGAATTTCAAACCTAAAGATGTACAAACATTCACATGCCTACGTTGCTGTGAGTTTTCTGGGCTGTCTGGCCATGTTCCAGAAGCATTCTCTCCTGATGTTTCACCCACATCTATGTGAGGAGAGAATGCTGCTGGAACATGACCAGACAGCCCAGAAAACTCACAGCAACGAAGTGATTTCGGTCGTGAAAACCTTCGACAACACATTCACATGCCTTTTCCTGGAGCAGCTTGGATCACCCCGCAAAGCCTTTAAAGTTAGTTGTGTGTGTGTGTGTGTGTGTGTGTGTCGTACCCTCTGGATGATGATGAAGCCGAGTGAAAGTACAAATAACTGCGGCGAGCCAAACACAGTTGCGAGGGATGGAAGCCATTGCCTTCAATGCCAGCACAGAAAGGGATGGCGGCCACATGGGAAACGGAGGAGGAGGATGAGGAGGAAGCCTGTGTCCACCACAAGCCATTATTGTTGCTGTTGTTGTCGCTGTTGTTTATTTATCCCCCGCTTTTTCTCTCCTGCTTACATTAAAAGCCTTTCAGTACAATTCAGTCTACAAATATATAAACATTTATATGTATGTGTGTGTCAGGAGCCACTTGAGAAACTGCAAGTTGCTCCTGGTTTGAAAGAATTGGCCGTCTGCAAGGACGTTGCCCAGGAGACGTTGCCCAGATGCTTTACAATCCTTGTGGGAGGCTTCTCTCATGTCTCCGCATGGGGAGCTGGAGCTGACAGAGGGAGCCCAACTTGCTTTCCCTGGATTCGAACCGCTGTCGGCCAGCAGTCCTGTCGGCACAAGGGTTGAACCCACTGCACCACCGGGGAACGGATGGGTATTTTGGGGAACATCTGGAAATCAGGAGACGCTTCCTTCTTGGGAGGAGAGCAATGTCCAGTCTCGATAAAATAGTAAAGAGCAGAGACATCACACTGGCAACAAAGATCCATTGCCTAGTCAAAGCCATGGTATTCCCTGTAGTCACCTACGGATGTGAGAGCTGGACCTTAAGGAAGGCTGAGCGAAGGAAGATAGATGCTTTTGAGCTGTGGTGTTGGAGGAAAGTTCTGAGAGTGCCTTGGACTGCGAGAAGATCCAACCAGTCCATCCTCCAGGAAAGAAAGCCCGACTAAAGCTCATTGGAGGGAAGGAGACGAGAGGGAAAGTGGAAGTCCTTTGGCCACATCATGAGGAGAGAGCAAAGCCTGGAGAAGACAATGATGCTGGGGAAAGTGGAAGGCAAAAGGAAGAGGGGCCGACCAAGGGCAAGATGGATGGATGGCATCCTTGAAGTGACTGGACTGACCTTGAAGGAGCTGGGGGTGGTGACGGCCGACAGGGAGCTCTGGCGTGGGCTGGCCATGAGATCACCAAGAGTCGGAGACGACTGAACGAATGAACAACAACAACAAACTTGCTGCCTCTCAAGGAAGGAGCCCGGCTGCAGAATGGCACTCATCGGTCTCTTTGGTGGGATCCCTAGAAAGGAAACACCCTGAGTCAAGCCAAGGGTGGGCCTCGTGGGGGAACCAAGGGCCCCGCAAAGGCACAGCGGCACCCACAGCCCTCTTTTGTCGCTCTGCACACAGGCCTCGCTCCCTGCTGCTGCTGCTGCATCCTCGCAAAAGGCAGGCTCCCTGCTGAGGACGAGGACGAGGAGGAGGAGGAGGAGGAGGAAGCAGCCACAGGACGGACGGACGGACGGACGGACGGTCTCCTTGGACGGGAAAGGCCTCGGGTTGCACTGGGGATCCATGAGTCCAGGCGCCTTCTCTGGAGCCTCAGGAAACCCACCCAGGGGGCCACTCCTTGGAAGGCCCTCCGCCAAGGCCGGGTTGGGCGCCAGGCAAAGGGAGGCCAGGTGAACGTTTACGCCTTCCTCAGGAAACAAGGCAGCACGGCCTCCCTCTGAGGTGGAGGAGAGGCCTCCTTCCACCGCTCTTTGGCCTCTGGCGCTCTCATTTTCTCGGGTTCCCAAGCATCCCTTCTCACTCCTCCTCCTCCTCCTCCTCCTCCTCCTCCTCCTCCGTCAGTCCTTTTGGTCAAATGGCTCCAACGCCTTCCCACTCCCTGGACTCCTCTGGCTGCTCTGGGTCAAGGCAAGGGCAGGCTGGCCTTCCACGCAAAGGAAGAGGAAGATGAAGAGGAAGATGAAGAGGAGGAGGAGGAGGAGGAGGGATCAAAGACTGACTGGCAAGGAGATGCGCCTGCCTTCTCTGCCGCCTCCTCCTCTTCCTCTTACTTCTCCACCCACTTCTTCCAACTCTTTTCCTCCTCCTCTTCCTCCTCCTCCTCATCTTCAGTCTTCTCTTCCTCTTTTTCTCCCAAGTCTTTTTCCTCCTCCTCTTCCCCTTACTTCTTCCAACTCTTTTCCTCCTCCTCCTCTTCCTCTTCTTCCTCCTCTTCCTCCTCATCTTCAGTGTTCTCTTCCTCTTACTTCTCCACCCACTTCTTCCAACTCTTTTCCTCCTCCTCTTCCTCCTCCTCCTCATCTTCAGTCTTCTCTTCCTCTTCCTCCTCCTCTTCCCCTTACTTCTCCATCCACTTCTTCCAACTCTTTTTCCTCCTCCTCCTCTTCCTCTTCTTCCTCCTCTTCCTCCTCTCTTCTTCCTTCCCTTCTTCCTTCTCCATCCCTTCTTCCTCCTTTTTCCTCCTCCTCCTCCTCTTCCTCCTCCTCATCTTCAGTCTTCTCTTCCTCTTCCTCCTCCTCTTCCCCTTACTTCTTCCAACTCTTTTCCTCCTCCTCCTCTTCCTCTTCTTCCTCCTCTTCCTCATCTTCAGTGTTCTCTTCCTCTTACTTCTCCATCCACTTCTTCCAACTCTTTTTCCTCCTCCTCCTCCTCTTCCTCCTCCTCATCTTCAGTCTTCTCTTCCTCTTCCTCCTCCTCTTCCCCTTCTTCCAACTCTTTTCCTCCTCCTCCTCTTCCTCTTCTTCCTCCTCTTCCTCATCTTCAGTGTTCTCTTCCTCTTACTTCTCCATCCACTTCTTCCAACTCTTTTTCCTCCTCCTCCTCCCTCCTCCTCCTCATCTTCAGTCTTCTCTTCCTCTTCCTCCTCCTCTTCCCCTTACTTCTCCATCCACTTCTTCCAACTCTTTTTCCTCCTCCTCCTCCTCCTCTTCCTCCTCCTCATCTTCAGTCTTCTCTTCCCCTTCCTTCTCCACCCACTTCTTCCAACTCTTTTTCCTCCTCCTCCTCCTCCTCCTCCTCTTCACCCTCCTCTTCCTGTTCCATCCTCTCCTCCTCCTCCTCCTCCTGAGACTGAGGCTGAGAGAGAGCAGCGAATGCTCTTTTGGGAGTCGCCCACCCTTCCTTCCTTCCGCCTGCCAGGTTTCCAGGGAGAGTCGGGCAAGGAGGGAAGCTGGCAGGCCGAGCGGAGAGAGCGCTGGGTGGTGACGCAAGGGCGCGCATGGCATGGCGCTTGGCACCCTGCTCTCCCTGGCAGAGGAGGAGGACGCCACCGGCCCGGCCCGCCGCTCCTCCTAATTGCCCTTCCTGAATGATACATCTGTCAGGATTAATGAGGCAGCAGCATTTCGAAACCTGCCATCACCCCCAGACACATCCTTCCTTCCTCAATGCAAGGCGAGGAGGAGGAGGAGGAGGAGGAGGGGGGGGTGCCCTCCAGGCCTTTCGGGACACGGAAGCAATGACTGCTGCCCAGGATGGATGGCTGTGTGCAAAGGAGCTGCAATCAATACTCCTCATATTCCAGGCATGAGTTTCAATTGTCATGCTGCAGCAGAAAGGGCAAATACCATTATGCAACCACATTCCTTATATGCTGGGCATGAGTTTCAATTGTCATGCTGCAGCAGAAAGGGCAAATACTATTATGCAACAGTATTCCCCATATTCCAGACATGAGTGTCAATTGTGACGCTGCAGCAGAAAGGGCAAATACCATTATACAACAATATTCCTCATATTGTGGACACCAGCTTCAATTGTGATGCTGCAGCAGAAAGGGCGAATACTGCTATATAACAATATTCCTCATAACCATTTGGAACTCATATTCCTCGTATGCCAGGCATGAGTGATGCTGCAGCAGAAAGGGAAATACCGTGATACAACCACATTCCTCCTGCTCTGGAATGAGTTTCAATTGTGACACTACCTACAGCAGATAGGGCAAATACCGTCATATAACAATATTCCTCGTATGCCAGG